GTTTAGGGTTTAGGGTTTAGGGTTTAGGGTTTAGGGTTTAGGGTTTAGGGTTAGAGGGAGCTCCATGACCCACTGAACGCAAGACCCCAGGGTACCTGGGGAAGCTTCTCGTGACTCACGAGCTCCAGAGGCCCGGATCATGCCGCTGTAATGCTAAACACTATAAGGATACAGTTTGGTGGTGATGGTCAAACATAGTACAGTATGTAGTATAGTATCATATGCAGTAAAAAATATAGTATATAGTATCCGCAAGCTCCAATGAACACAAGAGATCGTAGCACGATCTGACATCCGTAGCTCGAGTTCAAGGACGGCACTACCTGCAAGACTGAGGCGCAGAAAGGCAACAAAGAACCGTTGGGACGATGCCTATACAAATCCACGTTCACACATGGTCTGCATGATGTCACATACAACCAACGCAAAGATGCAAGGACTATAGAGTCTATAGAGTATGTCATGCAACAGGACTTGGCTATCATGCAGCTTGCAAGGTCGAAGCAGCAGCATCCCACAGAACTGAACATAGAAGCCCGGTGATGGCCAAATATAACACGGCATATAGTATAGTATAATATACAGTAAGTAACGGAGTACGGTAGACAAACTAGCATATAGTAAAGTATATATCACGTGAGCCGCGCAGTCCTCGGCCCTTTCCGCTGCCACAGGTTCCACCTGTGTCTCCTCATCGGATGCTTCGCCCTCGGCTGCCTGTTCGTCAACATTACTGGTCCGAGATACTTCGGGGACATGCTACCTTCGCTCGTTCATGTAGGTATGAGGGACATCCCACCAGAAGTCATGGTAGCAGCTCTGGCGTAATGATGGCTTTCGCCCCTAGTGTGTCATGAACATCTTACCACGTCCTAGCATTACTACTTTCGCTTTCGATAACATCACTTCAACGATGTGAAAGCCATTCGTTGCATGGCCGCTGAATCCCAGGGTTGAGTCCTCGGCGGTCTCCAAAGCATCGAGCACGTCAGCGTGCATTCTGTCGGCTCGGTGTGCCAGGTACAGAATCACGGCCCCGAGGACGAAGGACATCCAATTCCTGCCAGTAGAGGCTTGCAATATGAGACCCACACATCAAGCAGTAAAGCCTATTATCGGACTGCCTGATATTGCATGAGAGTTTACATGGCTTTGCACCATGTTTCACTACATTATACACTGCATCGTAATACATGATATGGTGCTGATACTATGCCACACCGTGATAGGCGACCATACCACAAGAGGTCTCCTGCCCCATATCACTACATTGACACATACTTCTGAAACCATCGCGAGCCGGGGCGCAACATGGCCGGGAAACGGCTCCACCAATCACCTGAGGCTCAGTTCAGAGGCGATCATACCTTGTCCATGGAAGCTTTATCTTAACTCTGAACGCGTTAAACACCCGAAACCATCGACCCTAAAACCCTCTAACAAGCAAACCCACTTAACACAAAAGAGCTGATCAAGCCTTACGAAAACCGATGCGACGTTTATCAAGCCTTTGTAAGCCTGAGACTTGCGTGCCTCTAAAAAGAGCGCGGAAGCCCTCAGAGGAGAAGATTGCGGCCGCCTGGCTGCAGGAAAATGTGTCCTGGAGACAGGCTCGAACAATTGTAGGACAAGTACATTCGGGTGGATGTGCGTGCGTCCGTGTCTCTGTCTGTCTGTCTGTCTGTCTGTCTGTCTGCCTACCTGCTTGCCTGCTTGCCTGCTTGCCTGCTTGCCTGCTTGCCTGCTTGCCTGCTTGCCTGCTTGCCTGCTTGCCTGCTTGCCTGCTTGCCTGCTTGCCTGCTTGCCTAGCTGCCTGGCTGCCTGCCTCCTGCCTGGCCGTCTCTCCGTCTGTCTCTGTCCGTCTGTCTGTCTGCCTCTCTGTCTGTCTGTCTCTGTCTGTTTCTGTCTGTCTCTCTGTCTGTCCCTCTGTCTGTCCCTCTGTCTGTCTCTCTGTCAGTCCCTCTGTCAGTCTCTCTGTCTCTCTGTCTGTCTGTCTCTGGGTCTGCCCCTCTGTCTGTCTCTGTGTCTGTCGGGTGACGAGGTTAAAGAGGTTCGGGTTTATAGGGTATAGAGCTGAAGCCGCTCTGGGCTTGGTACGGAGTTAAGGATCTGCAGGACTGCAAGGGGCCCGGATATCCAACCCGGAGGGCCCCCCCGGGCCTCTGCACAAATCAGAGCTCGGAATGCTAAATCCTAAACTGGGCTTTGAAGTAACCAGGGAGAAAAAAGTATAGACTTTTATTTCTTAATGGTTCCTTTAAGGAACAGGTCCCCCAAAAAAGTATTAAAGTATGGTACTCCAAAGCCCAGTAAACCCTAAACCCTAGCACCACAGGTGCCGTAAGCAGAACGTCCTCGAAGATGACGTGACATCGAGGAAAACCTCCTACATCTCCAGCCAAGCCTCTGAAACTAAAACCCATTATAGGATCCTTTAGGGAGGGTGGCTCGAGGGGGAGGGTCCAAGGGAGCTTTAGGGAACCTACGACTAGGGAGAATTGGGGATTACTGGGTTAAATACCCCCCTTAGAACCCCCCTCCCTTGAGGATTCCATATACCCAAGTCAAGGACTCCCATACAAATCCGAAACCCTGTCCTCGATCGCTTCGATGATGCCTGCGAAGATGCTGAGGTGCGTGGTGCTGCAAGCGAGCTTCCTGGGACAGGCTTGGGGTTCAGGGGTTTAGGGGTTTGGGTTCAGGGTTTAGGGTTTAGGGGTTTGTGGTCTGGAAATGAAAAGCTTAGGTATGTTTTGGATTTAACGACTTCGCTTCTTCTTGGCCCCCTTTGGCCAACTTTCAGGCTTATAGGGGTTTAGGAGTTTTCTCTCTTCTTGCTGGCCCGGCTTCGAGGGGTCGGATGAGACGCGCTGAACGCCTTCCCTGGACCAATCACCGGCTTGCTCGTCCCAGAAGACACAAACTGCCTGCAAGGACTTTAGACTTTACCCATAGGCCCTAAAGTAGTTCCTTTTTGGGGTTCATGTTTAGAAACCTATAAGGTAATCCCAACAAGGAACTACTATGGGACCAAATTTAGACACAGTGATTGCTTGGCAAAGGGCTCGCACCCCGACGTCTTGACATGGGAAGGGTAGAGTGCTTACCAACACGGTATCGACACATGCTCAATGTGTCTTTTTTGCACGGTCGCGCTGTTGTGCTTCGGTGGCTCTGATCTGTCTTCGTCGTTGTGTCAGTCGCGGTGTCTTCTTTCTACGTAATACCGTTGATGATATAAATCCTGCATTATCCGTAATAGGGAGTATACCATAATTCCCATAGATTAGGGTCCTTATGTAAGGTAATGCAGGATTTACAACATCAACAGTAGTTGCGGCTGTTGGTTCTCTGACGTCTGTCACTTGGACGCAGATGGAGGACCGCGGATACGATGAAGTCTGAAACGGAAGGCAGAGACATGTGATAGCCCCTGAAGACCCAGTGGGAGACGTTGCAACTATGACGGCTGACCACACGCTCTATCCACGGCGAAAGCAGCCAACTGCTCTCCCGAGGACATCCACACATGCAGCATGGCTCAACTAACAGTGGCTTTGGCCTGCACCTGCTGCAAACCCCCCTGGCCTGCCACAATCTGTGGTCTATGCCAGCACAGGGTTCAGGGCTTGGAAACTGAAACGGAGACTATGTACCGGATGCCAAGCCGCGGTGAGTTAACTCAAACATCCTCCCTAAAAGCCTCAACCCTAAACCCTGAACTTCAGTCAAGTCCCTAAACCCCCAAGTCCCCCAAACCCTAAAACCCGGAACACAAGCAGAGCTCCCGCCTTTGGATCTGCTGTGCCTTGTAAGACAAGCTCCAAGGGCTCCTCCGAAGATGAAACATCGAGATGCAACATATAGGTGCTCGAAGAAAGGTGTGTACACACACATTCATATGTATGTGTATATATATATA